CAAATACAAGAAAATAACCTTTAAAAGTAGCCATTTGGAGGTTTATTTAACACCTTCAAAAAAGTATTCTGAGTTGAAAGTAGAATAGTCACAAAATATTATACTTATCACTATAAAATCGAAAGAACAAAAAGTAGATTGATAATAAAAAATTTAATTGAACCATCAAACAAATATAATTTGAATATATTAAAATTTGATCTACTCAATAAAGAATAAAAGTTTATCTTGTGTCACTACTTTCAACATTAAATCAATCATCAATGATTATTTTTAAATTGAACTAAAGTAAATAAACTTAGAGAATCTATTATTAAATGCAATATCTTATTTAAGTTTCACCCAATGATGAAATGAAGTTATTCTAATGCATAAGAATGATATAATAAAAATATTGATAGATAAATAAATATCTAAATAGTCAAAGAATAGCATAAAGCAAGATGTTGTTATATATATATATATATATATATATATATATATATATATATATATATATATATATATATATATATATATATATATATATATATATAACAAAAAAAAACATAAATGCATTTTCTAACTCGTTCCAAGTGATTATTTATTTTATAATATACTCTTCAACACTTGGAAAGACATGTATCAAATTACATCAACTAGACATAAAGGAAGGAAAACAAATACAGCAAGCTTGAACTCTTGTAAAGGAGATATATGTAAAATTCTAGATGTTGATATAAAAAAATAATATTAATATATAAAACACTTGCATAATTTACAATCTTTCATGTTTTAGTTTTGCATCACTTTCAATAGTTCATAAAGGAGTTTTTAAGCTCACAAACATATAATTAAGAGACGTGAAATACAGTTTATTTATGGAAAATGTATATTTTATTTTAGTTTATCAAATTAAATCTTCAAAAAATATATTCAAATAAATCATGTCATGAAATATTACCTCAAAATGAAGAAATCGTATTTCATAACATCATTTTTTTTTTTTTTAATTTAGAAAGATGTTGTAGAATTATAAATATAGTATTGGACTTCTAATTTTTATATAATAATAAGAATTATATTATTAATAATAAAATAAATGATAAAATTTAAGTTTATATTATTAATAAAATTAATAACTATTATATTATTTTACTATTATTGTAATTATTAATATTATTATTGATAATTAAAATTAATTTATTACTAATAATAAAATAATATTAATAATTATCATTATCAATTATTAACAATATAAAAATGCTTATCATTATTTATTTTATAATTAGTTATAATAATAAAATTATTATTAATAATTATAATAATTATCATTAAATAAAATTATAATATATTAGTTATAATTATAATTATATTATATTATTAAATTAATATTAATAATAATAATATTATTATTATTTTAGTATTAATAATAAATATTAATAAAAATTATATAATATTTATTAGTTTTGTTAATATAAATTTAATTATTAATAATTATTTTGTTAGTAATAATATTAAAATTATTATTAATATTAATTATAATAAAAATTATTATAATATAAAACTAGAGGTATTAAATAACTTCTATATTATATTTGTATTAAAATTGTGTTAGCTAATAGGAATTTTTACATGAAACATGGTTTTATTTGATTTTAAATTCATGATTCATGTTTTTTTTTCTCATTTTAAAATCACGTTTTTTTAACACAATGTATTCATATATTTTTTTAAAAATTATTCATTTTGATAAATTTAAAAAAATATTTTCTTGATAAAAAAACCCTTAAAATATACTTAGGACCTTGGATAGCCTTACAAATGTCGATTAGAACAACTTAAGACTTATCTATTTGGCTTATTTTACATCCCACGTTAGCCTCACATTTTTTCTCTTTTCCAGCCAACTTGTCGTCTCTTCAACGAATAAGTTGCACTAGTCTTTAAATAAATAAATATATATATATATATATATATATATATATATTTATTTATTTATTTTCTTAAAAAAAATAAAGAAAGAAAGAAACATCTTTAAATAAATTAAACAAATAGTATAATATATCTATTTTTTTACAAATATTTGTAAATAATTATAAAAATAATAAATATTTAGTTTTATCGACTTAAATATGTAAATATATCTCTAACATGTTAATTTTATTGTTTTGATCTTCGTAAACTTTTTTTTTATCTTTTGAATATAAATTTTTACTATCTTTAAAGTTTATCCCAACATTAAAACATGACCTCACATGTTTTGATGACATTATATTTTATTTGACATGCTATTATTTGATGGTGAGATATAATGATAAAAAATATTTTATAATAAAAAATTATTAGAATTAAAATAATAAAATAAATTTATTTTAAAAAATATATATTTTAATTATATAAATACAAATAAAGTTCTAACCTGCATTTGGTTGTTGAAACATTAATGTCGTGAATACATTGAATTTTTAATAAAAGATGTATAAAATAGATATCATATGTATAATATTATTAGTTATTTATTACGAAAGATATTGATAATAATGTTTTTAAATTTGAACATTTATTTACGTCAGAAATTGTTCAATTTAGGAATAAAAATGTCTTAATTTCATGTTTATTATGATAATATTGTTTTAGTCAATTTCTATGTTTGAAATATTTTTTACTTTCAAGTTTTTTTGTCGTGTCTTTAAAAGATGTATTAATGGGTTAAGAAATCATATTGTATATAAAATAGTTTTGACCTCTACTTCTAAATGATACGAGACTTGTGAGTGTACCAAAACATAGTTCCCCAGTTAAGGACTAAGGGACATAATAGTGGAGCAAGACTCAACTTTGAGTCTCATGGTGGGCATTAATGTTCCGTATATGAACAAAAATGTCACACCCTCATGTCCACTATGATAACATCGTTAGAGTAAATTATTATGTTTGAAATATTGTCCATTTTTAAATTTTTTATCCAGTAACAATTTTGTTCTTAAGAAACATATGAGCTAAGAGAGGAATATGTATATAAACTACATTTATTTTCAATTCCTAAACTATGTCATAACAGTACCATAAAAGAAATAAAATAAAAATTTGTTTTTCATTTTCATTATTTATTTTTAGTAATTTAATAATTTAAAATATAAAGCTCTCTTAGCTATTAATTTTTTAAAATAACGGTTAAAATTGAGATAATTTTTAAATTTGTACTCTTGAAATATTTTTTTGTGTGCTATTACTTATAATATATTAGTAATTTAGTAATATATTATGTTAAAGTAAAATTGTTTAACACGGAAAAATTAAATGTTTATTTTTTATATAAAAACCAAATTTACACACTTATAAAGCTAATAAGAAATTAAAAGTGAATCAAAATTTAAAATATTTATTTTCATTCTCATGTTAACGAGATTAAGAGAAAATTAATTAAATTTAAGAAAACAAAAGAGTTTTGCAAGAATGAATTGACCTAATCACTTTTGTTATTTTTGCATAAATGAGATTGAAATTAGGTACATGTTGTAACATACTTTTTATTTATCACATGTTCATTTAGTATCAGCATGTTTTTTTTTTTTTTTGGATTATATTATTACATAAATGATAGATGAATGTAACTATCTTAGTAAAATATATCTATTTTTTTTAGAAAATCATTAACGAATTACTTTAAGATGAGTTTGTATGCTCAGGCACTTGTTTAGACCTTATGTGCAGTAAGTTAATTTCTCTTCAACTTTATTAGTATGTGAGTATGAATAATAATATATATATATATATATATATATATATATATATATATATATATATATATATATATATTATTGAATTAAGGATTTATTACATTTTTACTATATTGATATTAGGCTTGTTTATAGAAAACCCTAAAATTTATTGTGACATTAAGTGAATAGTTTGATTTTATATGAACCTATTTACGGATAAGATAGGCAAGAAAGTGTGAGAGACACTTCTATTAACCGTTGGGTATTTTTAGTGTGTTACTACCGAGTCTATAAAACGCGTGTGTGAATATCTATCTATAAGAAGTAACATGTGTGATAAATAATTTATGATATTAAATGTTATTTTATGAAAAATTCATTTGTTAAAATTCAAAACGAATTACTAGCTTATCATATATTCTTGCCATAATATTATTTAAAATATAGTATAATGTAATTGATTCGAGAATAGAGAAGATTACGATTGAACTTTAGTGTTTCTCAAGTATAAAATTTAAGTTCAACGTTGGGAAAAAATATATCAAATTTTTGTTACTATGTGGTTTAAAATTTTAGATTTATTTAAATATTTTTATAAAAAATAGATTATGAAACATAAAAATCTAAACCTAGACAAAACGGGTACAGAAACCCAATTTTTAACCTTAAGGAAGTTAAAAACAAAAATAATTAAAAAAGTCACCACAAAGTGAAGGCAAAACTCAACCTAGAACACCTAAACCATAAGGATAATTACGTATATAAATATAAGAAATTTAAAAAATAGTTACAAATGAAACCGGTGTAAACAATAAAGTTTTTATTTGAGATTATTAATGGAAATGTTTGTATTAATAAATCCTAATGTTTTTATTTTTTCAGAAAATACTTATAAATATTAATTATTTAATTGAGTAAAAATTTGAAGGCAGATATTATTAAATTGATATAAAAACCAAGTTAAACCGGTAGGAAAGTAGAATGAGAGGTGAACCCGGTTTTTATTTTTAAATGTGGTTGCTTTATACCCACGCTGTGAGAGCAAACTTGAAATACAACGGGTTGAAGAAACGAAGCACTACGCTCTCTCTCTCTCTCTCTCTCTCTTTCTCTCTTTCTCTATGTGATCCTTCCTTTTGTTTTCCCTCGCCAATTTTAAACCGCCTCAAAGGAAAAGGTTAAATCAACAATATAATAATAGTTATAATAAAATTTCTGGAAACCCAGGCCTTAAAAGGAAGCACAAAAACGTAGAAAGAGAGAAAAAAAAGTGCGAACTCCGAGAAAGAGCGAAGGATGCTCAAACTTTTCAACCGCGGCAGGGATAGCCCCGCCGACTCGTCACCGCCCTCCGCCGCGGTCGCCACGCCGTCCTCGTCGGCGGCTCCGGTCACCGGCCCTGCCAGGCCCATTCGGCTAGTCTACTGCGATGAGAAGGGGAAGTTCCGCATGGATCCAGAAGCCGTCGCGACGCTCCAACTCGTTAAGGAGCCCATCGGCGTCGTCTCCGTCTGTGGCCGCGCGCGGCAGGGCAAGAGTTTTATCTTGAATCAGGTAATTATTTAATTCGAGTGAAAATTTCTTCACTGTTGGGCTTTAGGGTTTTGGAGTGTAGTGTTGTATTTGGTAATTAGGGTTTTTACGCGTTGACGGTTGTTCAGTTGGATAACCGTAGATTCTTCAGTGGAAATGTTGTTTATGATACAGTATTGCTTTGTGTGACTATTGCGTGTCTTGTTTTGATTAAATTTTGGACAATGTCGTTGTTTTTGGTCGTGGTCGCGGTTATTTGGCTATAGGGTGGTCGGAATGCGAAATTCGCCACATAGTTGGAAGGTTTTGGGACGGTTCTTGATTGGCTAGTAGTCCAGTGGAAGGTGTGGTTTTTTAATTTTGAGAGCGCCTGCTCGTTTGCGTATCGTGTACAACAATTAGTGTGTCGATGATTGTTTCCGTTTGGTTCGATTCGAAAATTTAGGTGCCAAATTATGGCGTATGTGGGAGAGAAACACTTTGCTACTTCTTTCTCTGCCATTGGATTGTTTACTTACATGACTGGGAACATTAACAATTTTAGCTGTGATTATTGCATTTTTCTCAATCTGACATGCAATTTCCGTGGGCATTATGTCTGCAAGTCTTGAAATATAATAATAACACCCACAGTGTGGTTATGTTATTACTTTATGCTTATGCTTGTTTTTTTTTTTTATTTTTTTTATTTTTTTTATTTCAGCTATTAGGAAAGAGTAGTGGATTTCAAGTAGCATCAACACATAGGCCTTGTACCAAAGGACTTTGGTTGTGGAGTACACCTTTGAAGAGGACTGCTCTTGATGGAACAGAGTACAATCTCCTGCTATTAGACAGTGAAGGAATAGATGCTTATGATCAAACGGTCAGTTTTTCAGCTTTCTAATCATATAATCTTTTATATGTAGTCGATTTCTAATCATTTCTAGCTTGCTAGGCTTACCCCGCAATTTTTGTAATACACAGGGAACATACAGCACCCAGATATTTTCACTGGCAGTTCTTTTGTCTAGCATGTTCATTTATAACCAGGTTGGAACAGTCTATTCAAACCTATACTTTTTGTCTAGCTTGTCATGATCCATTTGAGTTTATTATAGAGCATGAAACTTTATTCCTTATTCTGCTTCCAACTTTTGTGGATTTCTTGCTGACATTAAAATGCTGATGCTACGTTTTTGCCCAGATGGGTGGTATTGATGAGGCTGCCCTGGATCGTCTTTCTCTCGTCACCCAAATGACAAAGCACATTCGTGTAAGAGCATCTGGAGGAAAGACTTCTGCATCTGAGCTAGGACAGTTTTCCCCAATTTTTGTTTGGCTCTTAAGGGTAGGTTGTATATAATTGCACTTGTTGGGCAAAAATGTAATAATATTGTAGTGATGGTATCTTATCATACTGTGACTGTATTGCATAGTACCATGTTTTACTTCATTTTCAATCCTCTTGCTGGCAGGACTTTTATTTGGACCTAACAGAAGATAACAGAAAAATAACTCCCCGTGATTATCTGGAACTTGCCTTGAGGCCTGTTGAAGGGAGTGGAAAAGATATAGCGGCTAAAAATGAGGTATCTTTCTTCTTCCTTCTTTATTTATTCAAAGAAGCAATTTAGATCTATCACTACTGTTAGTAGGATTCTTATTAATTATGTCAGTATTATGTGCTGGGACTTCAGTGTTATTATACATTTCTGCTTGCATTGTCCTATCTTCTCTAAATAATTACTTTTTCAATATCATTTTTAAATAACAGAGAAGGTCAAAGGAATAAGACTGATAAAGAGATTGACAAATATACCAAATCGTACATAGTGAAGAGTATTTATCTCTATTTGAGTTAAACGTTCAAGGAATAGGATTACTTGCCATCGTGAACGGCAAATAAATTAAATAGCGAGCAAAGCCATTAAAAATCACAATGAATTTTATACAAAGATTGTAACAAATGGATTTTCTCCCAGCCTTTTATACCAGTAACCCATAGTTTAATTCTCATTCAAATCCTAGATTGAAATTTGATTTAACTCCTTGACAAATCACCCCTTACCCCTTTGAAACTCTAATTCCTGAGAAATTGCTAATTAGAGCAAGCATTAAGTTTGAGAGTTCCTGGATCTCATTGTTAATCTCCATTCCTAGGTAGTGTTTTGCTCGGATTTGTTCTTTTTTCAGTTTTTCTTCTCCTTAAAAGTAGAACTGTGCCAAATGCATGTTGAAAACCCTTAAACATTGCGTAGCTTATTATTTATGGAGGAAAAGGGAAACAAATAGCTATTTGAAAAAGTAGGCAAAGGAGTTTTAGGAAAAAGCTAAATGTTCTGTCTGTCTTCAGGTGAAGAAGCTTTTCCACAAACTAACTTTTCCTCCCATTCTCTATGATAAGCACTCAAGCACTTGGGAAACTCTCCCTTAAGTGGAGAGAATCACTTATAATACTTCAATGAGTTTCTTATACCACTCAAAGTGGAACTTAAGCATCCATTATATCCAAGTTACTTTACATTCCCCACTCACTCATGGGTCATCTTTTTTATGCTAAAAGAAATGAAAACGGATGAATAACAGTATTTTTAATGCTCTTATTTTGAGTTTTATTTGAAAGTAGGTTTTAATCAAATAAAGGTTTAGTCAAGAATATTCCTAGAGTATTTCTTTGTTTTTTTTGTTCCAATAAATTTATGTTGCTTTGTTTCTTTTTGACTACCTAATCTTATCTTCCTATTGCCGATAGGAACTTAGTGTCGTAGATTGGTGACAAGCTCATTGAGAAGCAATAAATTTAAAAACTAGCACTTGAAATAGAAAAAGAAAACAAAGAACTGATTTTGAGAGCCTGAAATCATCTTCTTGTGTTCTCTTATTTATAGGAGATAAAAATACAGATTCAGAGATACAATAAATAGAGAGACATGATTAATCCTAGAGAAGATAAACAGATGCATTCTAGGAACTAGGTCTACAACTACTCTCATAAATGTCCAACAAGATACACTTAATCTAATAAATACTTCAACACTCCCCCTCAAGCTGGAGCATACAAATTGAATGTACCAAGCTTGGAACAAATGAATTCCATTCGAGGTCCTCTCAAAGATTTTGTTAATGCATCTGCAAGCTGATCATTGGAACCAACAAACTCGAGTACAAATTTCTTTAGTCAACAACTTCTCCCGAATAAAATGACAAGTCAATCTCAATATGCTTAGTCCTCTCATGAAATACTTGGGTTGGAAGCAATGTGAAGAGCGACTTGATTATCACAATACATCTTCATAGATTGAATCTCACGAAGTTCAATTCTTGCAAGAATTGTTTTACCCAAACAAGTTCACAAGTAAGAGACGCCATTGCCCTATATTCAGCTTCAGCAGAGGATCGGGCAACAACGTTTTGCTTTTCCATGAAATGATATTTCCTCCAAGGAAAACACAATAGCCTGTAGTGGAACGCCTATCCATAGGAGATCCGACCTAATCGAGCATCACAGGTACCCAAAAATTTGGGTATTTCCCTTATCTTCATATAATAATCCTTGTCCTGGAGCTTTTTTAATGTATCTTAAGATTCGAATGATAGCATTCCAATGATCCACACAAGGAGCTTGCATAAATTGGCTGACAACACCAACTGCAAAAGACAAATCGAGTCTAGTAATCGTCAAATAAATAAGTTTCCCAACCGAGTCTTCTATATCTTTACGGGTCGAGAAAACTTCACCCTGTCCCGCCATTAACTTCAAATTTGGATCCATAGGATCTGTCCACAGGTTTGCAATCAATCATACCTGTCTCTTTTAGAATATCTAGAGCATACTTCCTTTGAGAGATGACAATACCTTCTCTTGATTGAACTACTTCAATACCCAAGAAATATTTTAGATTTCCAAGATCCTTGGTCCGAAAATGACTACACAAGTGTTCTTTTAGCTGAGATATTTTAGCGACATCATTCCCTGTGATGACAATATCATCAACGTACACAATTAAATAAACATGTTTGCCAGGGCGAGTGTGACAAAAAACACTGAATGATCCGCTTCGCTGCGTCTTAATCCAAAAGCTTGAACAATAGAGCTGAATTTTCCAAACCAAGCACGTGGAGACTGTTTTAGGCCATAGAGGGATCGACGTAATTTACAAACCAAACCAGACTCCCCCTGAGCAACAAATCCAGGAGGTTGCTCCATGTAAACTTTTTCTTCTAAGTCACCGTGCAAAAAAGCATTTTTAATATCCAATTGATGAAGAGGCCAGTGACGAATGACGGCCATGGCAAGGAATAGGCGGACAGTGGTCATTTTGGCTACTGGAGAAAAAGTATCACAATAATCAAGCCCATATATTTGAGAATACCCTTTAGCTACTAACCTTGCTTTAAGACGATCAACCTGACCATTGGGCCCAACTTTAATAGCATAGATCCAACGACAACCAAGCTGTTTTCTTTCCCGAAGGAAGAGGAACAAGCTCCCATGTTTTGCTTGTGATCAAGAGCCTGCATTTCGGAAATCATGGCTTGTCGTCATCCAGGATGATCAAGCGCTTCGACCACATTTTTGGGAATTGTAATAGAGGAGACAGAGGAAATAAAAGAACAATAGGAAGGAGACAATCTATGATAACTAAGAAAATTGTAAATGGGATGAGGATTACGAGTAGAACGAGTACCTTTACGAATGGCAATGGGCCAACTGGAGTCATAGTTATCGGGAGCCGTGGTATTAGAGGATGATGGTGAAGGACCCGTTATGGATGGCTCATCTTGGGGAATAGGATTGTTCACCTGGTTCCTGCGTTGATAGGTGATGATAGGTCGTGATGCTCGATTCTAGAGTATTTTGGTTGGGATTTGGGGTGTCGGGAATAGGAGGTACAAGCTGATTCAACAAAGGAAACAGGAAACACATTTTGGACAGAATCAATATCCTGCATAGAATAAGGAAAGAAGGATGATGATTCAAAAAAGGTGACATTAGCAGACATGTAATACCTCTTGGTTTCGGGAGAATAACACCGATATCCTTTTTGAAGACGAGAATACCCCAAGAAGACACATTTGATAGCTCTAGGTAAGAGTTTATCTAAGCCAGGAGACATGTCATGAACAAAACATATACATCCAAATACTCTAGGAGAAACATGAAAAATTGGTTCCTTTGGAAATAGAATGGAGTGTGGAACTTTATTATCAAGAGAAGAAGATGACATTCTATTAATGAGAAAGCATGCAGTTAGAATAACATCTCCCCAATGATGAATAGGCATATTGGCACCCGAGTAACAAGGTACGAGCAGTTTCAACCAAATGTCTATTCTTTCGTTCTCGCTATACCATTTTGTCGTGGTGTGTGAGGACACGTGGATCGGTGTAAAATGCCTTGAGAATTTAGGACATTAGAAAAATCGGTAGAAAAGTACTATTTGGCATTATCACTTCGTAAAATTTTGATTACTTTTCCAAATTGAGTTTTGATTTCATTAAGGAAAGACTTAAAGATAGGCAATAGTTCGAACGATCTTTCATAAGATAAACCCAAGTACATCTAGAAAACTCATCAATAAAAGTAACAAAATATCTAAAACCAAAAGATGAAACACGACTAGGTCCCCATATATCTGAATGAACAATACTAAAAGCGAGAATCACATCTAGATTCAGAATGATTTGGAAAGGATGACCTGGTATGTTTCCCTAGTTGACCAGGCTTCACATTCAAAAGTTTGAAGGTTCTGAAGTTCAGGAACCATTTTTTTCAATTTTGCTAAATGAGGATGCCCTAATCGCTCATGTAACAGTTTTGGGGATAAGGATGCAACACAAGATACAGATGACTTAGTACTAAGGTAGTATAAGCCTCCAGATTCATGTCCTTCTCCAATCAGTCGACCCGTACCACGTTCCTGGATAACAAAGCAATTTGCATTAAAGGTTACTGAGCAATTCAATGATTTGGTTAATTGGCTTACAGAAACAAGACTGAATGGAAAAGAAGGAACACAAAGAACATTTTGAAGGTTTAAAGAAGAAGAGATGGATACTTGACCAATTCCTTTAGAGGCTACTTTAGATCCATTAGCTAAAGATATGAGATGAGATGTTTTAGGAAATGAAAGAGAGGAAAATAAAGAGGTATTACCGAGACATGTGGTCGAAGCACCTGAGTCAATAATCCATGGATTTTGACTTTCCACAGATTGCGAAATGCAAGCGGTTGATGAATTTGGTGTTGTAGATGCTTGAGCCAAATTGGTTGATTTCATCCTTAAATATTCTTGATACTCTTCATGAGAGAACTTGGGCTCATCAACTTCAGATTTTGAGGTATTAGCTGCCTTATCAGGAAAGCCGAGCAGAGCAAAGCAATTTTCCTTAGTATGTCCCATTCTTTTGCAATGAGAGCACTGAGGACGTCCTTTCCCACCACGTCCTCTAGAGCTGTGATTACCTCTTCCACGAGCAGAAACCATGGCGGAAGAATCAGCAAGTTCCTGACTGTTTTTGCTTTTGATAGAAGGAACATGAAGTAGCCTTGTGATTAAACTCTCCGTAGAAGGAACTTCTTCTCCAGTTAGAATCCGGTCTCTAACATGATTAAACTCTGGATTCATAGCCCTAAGAATCATTACCATATAGAATTTATCCAGACTTCGTCTTTCTTTCTTCTAATGATTACGCCTCCAGGAACATTTTTAATTCTTCAACAACCGATCGAGCTTCAAGCAACAAAGGACATCATGGAATTATCCTCTTGCTTAAGGGAGGCAAGTCTATTAGCAGAATCATAAAGTCGTTGAATATCATTAGCAAAGATATTTTGGGCCTTTTTTCAAAAAGAATTACATGTCTTAAAGGCTCGAAGAGTGCTCAAAATATGTGGTTCAACAGATTGCCATAAAAGTGCACAAAGTTGATAATCCAGTTTCTTCCATTGAGGAGCCTGATCTGCTGGTATAGTACTCCCATCTTCTTCTAGATGATCATGAACTCCTTGACCTAGAAACCAGAGCTCAACAGAGGAAGCCCAAGACAAATAATTTTTTCCATTTAATTTTTCTGTGGTTATAGTCGGAGTCCCAGAAAAAGATACAGACACAGTTCCTGACATTTTCCAGGAAACAAGAGAGGACCAACGTGTTGTTAGAGTGCTGTCAGAGACAGGACCGAGAGAGGCAGAGAGAAAAACACAGACCCACCACGTTTTGTGACCAAGAACACAAAACAAAGTGCAGATCCGGCACCGGGACGACGAGGCGAGCCGGATAGAGGTGGCTCGGAGCAAAACGGCCACCGAGAGGACGGCGCGTGAGGCCCACGCGCGGAGGAAGCCGCGAACAAGGGTGGCGCGTGGAGGCGCGTGAGGCAGAGATAGAGGAAGCGAACACTGGGGTTGGGTCGCGCTCCTCGAGGCGAGCCAAACCCAAGTGTCAGAGAGGAAAACGACGCCGGAGAAGACAGCACCGGCGGCGGACGGAGGCGAACGGCGGCGGACGGCGGCGAACGGCGATTAATGCCAGAAAAATAACAGAGACAGGCAGAGCGGGATGAACCCGCTCTGATACCAACTTGAAATAGAAAAAGAAAATAAAGAACTGATTTTGAGAGCCTGAAATCATCTTCTTGTGTTCTCTTATTTATAGGAGATAAAAATACAGATTCAGAGATACAATAAATAGAGAGACATGATTAATCCTAGAGAAGATAAACAGATGCATTCTAGGAACTAGGTCTACAACTACTCTCATAAATGTCCAACAAGATACACTTAATCTAATAAATACTTCAACACTAGCAATCTATAAAAAATAATGAACTTGCATTAGAAACCAAAATTTATATTAAGTTAGTGTTGGGATTCCTCATCCTTTAACTACAGAAAATTTGGTTTCATATGGTAAGTGAACTATATAAGAAATAATGTAGAACTCCATGAGAAATTGATGACCCTGCAACCTGATTCCTCAAAGATTGGGGTTCCGTAAGCCCCAATGCCACAGTGAACAAGATCTAGGGAAATATTTGAGCAAGATTGCTATGGTGTTGCTAATTCATGTAGTGTAGAAGGCTTCAGCATCAGTTATATATGTTTACATTTTTCATGTTGATTCAAGTATTATTAATGCTCATTGGTCGGAGATTCCATCAAATCATACTTGTGTGCGCTTAACACTGCTTCTGATTTTGGTGTTCTTCTCTATTGTGTATGTTCATTATTCATTTAGTGAGTGAATACTGACATAGCCTCTTAGGAATTTAAATCCTAATGTTGAAATTCTGTAATGACTTGTTTAATAATATCATTAACTTGTTTGACTGAATAAACAAGTTGGGGATTGAAGGTAATTTCTCACTTTGAATCATAGAATTTCATTAATCTTCTATTCTTGAACCTGTTCAAAATTTCATTGATTTGGAATTCTTCTAGGTATGTGAAACACGAGATTTTACTTAGAATCATAGGGGGGGGGGACATAATTGTAAATTGTTAAAGCATAACACAAGATTAAGATCCTACAAAAAAAGGTGATATATAAAATTCATATATATGTGTGTAACACTCCAAATATTTAATTAAGCTTATTTTATAATCATAGATTAATAAGGATATCAAAGTCAGTGACTAAACCCCATACAAAACTTAACACAAGTTATAAATAGTTTGTTTTGGGGTTTGGGTCCAAGTAAAAAGTTTGTTTTGGGGACCTGGGTTACAGAAAAGTAGTTTCCTCTATTATTATTAGTGTTGGGGTTACAGAAATATTGGTTTTGGAGCTTGGGTTCTTATGGACTTAAGTTTACAAACGTCCAAAATGAAAAGGAAAAAGAAAGGAACTTGACCTGCTGAAAGTTGGCACACAAAAACATAATCTAGGCAAAGCTTCAAAAACTCTCCATTGCCACCATTGGAAAAATATGAACTTTATTTTCACTGGAATAATTATTTTTGACAATTAAACTGCAGATTCGAGATTCCATTCGGGCTTTATTCCCAGACAGGGAATGCTTCACTCTTGTGCGACCTTTGAACAATGAAAATGATCTACAGCGACTGGATCAGATATCAGTAAGTAACCTATGAATTGACATTCTTTTGTTGTCATTTTGTTGTATCTTTTAACTTTGTATTTTATGTTATGCAGCTTGGAAAATTAAGGCCTGAATTTCGAGCTGGCCTTGATGCTTTGACAAAGTTTGTTTTTGAGAGAACAAGGCCAAAACAAGTTGGGGCAACTATGATGACTGGACCTGTCTTGGTTGGTATAACTGAATCTTATCTTGATGCGCTAAACCATGGTGCTGTGCCTACTATTTCTTCCTCCTGGCAGGTTAATATTTTATCTTCAAATTATGATTGACTTGAATTAGAGAGGAACAGATTCAACTATATGACATGAAGAATTCATTGGACATATTTAAGATTTTACGTATGGCCATATTGGTTATAAAATCTCATTTTAGTGGTTTGTTGCAATTGCATAAATAATTAACTATCCAAGGAAATAAGAAGCTTGATAAAACTTGGTCATTCGTGTGATTTACTCAAATCATATGGACAGTATCAAGGAGTTGATGTTCAATGGATGGAAATTTCTTTTTATTAATTGCTCTAAATTGTATGTTGCTTTGATCCTCTCTGAATGTGAATGATTACTTTTTTCTGACATTTGAAGTTATTTTATAGTTTTTACCTACAATAATGTCATTTGTTCTTCTTATCAAGTATATTTTATCTGTTAATAAAAGGAGAACATGGCATTATTCAGAGGTTTTTGTAAAATAGTTTGTTATAATGTGAAAGAAAATGTGATAATATTATAGCATGTCACTTGTTCTTGACTTTTTTGTTTGCTAAGTATTGGTTTTATACTTCAATTGTTGTTGCCCTGCAGAGTGTTGAAGAGGCTGAGTGTCGTCGGGCATATGACTCTGCCACTGATGTTTATATGGCTTCTTTTGAGCGCTCAACACCCCCTGAGGAAGTGCGTAATCTATTCTATCAGCCTAAAGTAAATGATTGTTATGATTCTTGTCCTTTCTAATAGCAATACCTGTTTGCAGGTTGCTTTGAGGGAAGCGCATGAACAAGCAGTTCAGAAGTCACTGGCTACTTTTAATGCCAGTGCTGTAGGAGTTGGTTCTGCCAGGAAGAAATATGAGGGCCTTCTTCTGAAATTCTTCAAAAAGGCATTTGAGGTATTGTATATGACAGATCACATGGGGGATTGACCGATAAAACTTAATGCGAAAAAGTTATGATGTTAGTGTGTAATTTGTTCACATGAGGTATTGAATCATTTTTCATTTCTAAATATTTCATTGGTAAGTAGGAGTAACCTGTTATTGCATTTAGGGAAAATTTAAACAATGAGATCTTTTTTTACAAATTACCATAACAAATTAACAAAATTCTATTTTTTATCTAATGTATACAGTTTTTTTTTTTAATCTTTCAGCATTTGTTATTTAAATCCATTTTGGTGAAGGCTTAATTACATTTTTGGGTCTCAACTTTCTTCAAGCTAATTAAGTCATTTTAATTGTAAAATAAAGTAAATTTGGTCCTTCCCTCCTTTTTTTTCATTGAACCCTTAAAATGTCATTTTCTATCAATAATTTTGGGGTTTATGATGGATTTGGGATATGAAATAATTTTAGAAGTTCAGCTGTCAAAATTGGTGGAATCTTGATTGAGATCCATTTCAATCAAATCAACAAAGGAATTTTTAGTTTTATAAGTATGGGAGTATGACAGGAAAGCTATGAGCTCCCTGTCCCAACCATGGAGGTATCCTTCTAGCCCAAGGCATGAAAATTCCAATTTCAGAAAATAAGGGGACATAGTTACTTAATAAAACTAGGGGGATCTAAATCACATAGATCAAAAGTGCAATTAAGTTTTATATATGTGTGTGTACTCACAACATTTTCTGTCATGGTAAATATTCATGCCATTGCCTGTTATTTATTTGAGTGTTGGGGCAATTCTGTATTGCTGTCTATGTTGTTACTAATGTATTGGTTAACAGGATTATAAGAGGAACGCATTCATGGAGGCAGACCTGCAGTGCTCAAATGCAATACAGTCTATGGAAAAGAGGCTGAGGGCAGCCTGTAATGCCTCTGATGCAAAGATTGATAATGTTGCTAAGGTAATTGTTATACTCCTAATGCAAAATATGGATCATGACTGTTGCATAATTATGGCAGCTTTATTAAAATGATAAGGTTATATAATGTATGTTTGATGCAGGTTCTTGATGCTCTTATATCTGAATATGAAAAAACTGTTCAAGGTCCAGGGAAGTGGCAAAAACTTGCTGTCTTCTTGCAACAAAGGTTTGTAAAAATGTCTTTTTGCAAATTTTTCTATGTCCTGGGTCTTTCTTGTGACTTGTTCGAAATTAATTTTTGTGTTGCTGCTGTCTACAGTTTTGAAGGCCCCATGGTTGACCTTATCAAGAGGCTAATAGCTAAAGTTGAATCAGAAAAGAGTTCTCATGCTTTACAATGCCGGTTGATTGAAGATAAGATGGCCCTTATGACTAAACGGCTGGAAGCCAGTGAAGGTGAAAAATCCGACTACATTAAGCGATATGAGGATGCCATCAAAGATAAGAAGAAATTAACTGATGAATATATGAATCGCATGACTGATCTGCAAGCTAATCGTCGCTCACTGGATGAGAGGTACTCTAATTTATTGAAAACACTAGATTCTACCAAGCAGGAATCCATGGATTGGAAAAGAAAATATGAGCAAGTCTTAACGAGGCAAAAAGCTGAAGAAGATCAAGCTAGTTCTGAAATAGCAGCCCTCAAGTCCAGGAGTGGTGCTGCTGAAGCAAGGTTGGCAGCAGCAAAGGAACAAGCTCAGTCTGCTCAAGAAGAGGCAGAGGAGTGGAAGCGAAAGTATGATATTGCCATTAGAGAAGCAAAATCTGCTCTAGAGAAAGCATCTATTGTGCAGGAGCGCACAAACAAGCAGACACAGTTGAGGGAAGATGCTTTAAGAGAAGAATTTTCTGGAACTTTGGCTGAAAAAGTGAGCTTACCTTTCTGAGATTCCTGCTGTGATTTCTTTTACAATTAGTATTCCTATTCCATAAAGATCTTTAATGGTTTGGAAATCTGGGTTCTTATTTGTTCCTCCGTGCTGACTATGCAGGAAGATGAAATAAAAGAGAAAACCGCAAAAATTGAGCATGCTGAGAAGTGTTTAACAACCCTGAATTTGGAGTTGAAGGTGAGATTCTTTGCTTCTGATTGTTCCACAGAACCTATTATCAAGTGCTGTCTGCAAGACAAGATTTATGTTGTGCATGTGTATTATTCTGTTTTATATTCTTGATACTTGTTTATTTCTTATTTTATTATGGCCATGCACCTGGATGGCTACTTCCCAGTTGCTCTGTCCTTTCACTCATGATTTGTTGTCATTTTATGTTGCATCTTTAATTAATCATTTTACTAGGAATCATAGATGAATGTTAGGACTTACGAATTCTACACTTAATTTTATGCTGTGGTGGTTTCTTTTTAATATGGAATGGTTGAAACAATTTACCCTTGTCTTTTTCGAACTAAGTGCTGCATCTGACCTTGCAGGCTGCTGAATCAAAGATAAGAAGTTATGATACCGAAATATCATCACTGAGGATTGAAATTAAAGAGTTGACTGAGAAATTGAAAATTGAAAATGCTAAGGCCCAATCTTATGAGAGGGAAGCAATGGTATTTCAGCAGGAGAAGAACCATCTAGAACAGAAGTATCGGACTGAGTTCAGAAGATTTGACGAGGTCCAGGAAAGGTGTAAAACTGCGGAAAAAGAAGCTGCCAGGGCTACTGAAGTGGCTGATAAAGCACGGGCTGAAGCAGGCATGGCTCAGAAGGAGAAGAGTGAGATGCAGAGACTGGCAATGGAAAGACTGGCACAGATTGAGAGGGCTGAGAGGAGAATTGAAAGTTTGGGAAGAGAGAAAGATAATCTGGAAGCTGAATTACAGAGAATAAGGGATTCAGAGAAAGATGCCCTTACCAGAGCTGTTAAACTAGAGGAAAAGGTTCAACAGAGAGAGAAAGATTTAGAAGCCCTTTTGGATAAGGACAAAACACACAGGCGAAATAGTGCACAAATTCTAGAACAACTTCTGGAAACAGAACGTGAAGCACATGCACAGGCTAATAATCGGGCTGAGGCTCTCTCTCTGCAGTTACAATCTGCACAAGCCAAAATTGATTCTCTCCATCAAGAGCTGACTAAATTTCGACTGAATGAAACTGCATTTGATGGTAAGCTAAACACAGCTTCCCATGGCAAACGAATGAGGGTGGATGACAACCTTGGTGATGACATGGATGTAAGTCCAAGAATAGTAAAGGCAACCAAGAGAACTAGGACTACATCTAGTCCTCTTAAGTACACACAACCAGAAGATGGTGGTTCCATCTTTGAGGGTGCCGAAGAAACTCTGAGTCAGCGAACGAGTGAGGAGGATTATAGAAAGTTTACCATACAGAAGCTTAAACAAGAGCTTACAAAGCACAACTTTGGTGATCAGCTGCTTCGGTTGAAGAATCCCAACAAGAAAGATATCATTGCTTTGTATGAGAAATGTGTTCTTCAGAAGTCATAGTAAATTACAGAGTCTGGATTGGTCTAAATCTCATTCATTCCATGCTTGCTGACATAGAGAATAGAAATATTGTGATAGTGGATTTCTGAGTGGTTTACATTCTTGGGTGTGTGTGCTTGAGTTTTTGCTAGCAATCATTGTTATCATGCAGGCCATACAAAATTTTGATGGCCCAATGTTTTATTTGTTGATTGCCCGAGTCAGTTGTATTTTATACATCTGTATAGTTTTGATTTTTGTATTTAGATTAACATTGGTTGCCGTATTAGATGACCTAAATTTAAATTGAGACTAGGCTTATGTGTGCCCAACTTTACGGACTGATTGTTTCTCTAGTACAGATTGAAAATAATTTGGTCAACTCTCTGCATATATTCGCATGCATTCTATTTTATTAGAATGAATTTCACTACATAATGAATCGGACGTATCAATTGGGATTTTGGAGAGAAAATATCATTATCACATACAACCATTTGACCAGGGCGGACAAAAACAAATATCTTTTACATTTTTTTTAAGAGAATGTATTATGGCCTCTTTTTAAAAAAAATTATATATAATCTAATCTCTTTAAAATTGTTTTTTGGCATCGCCTCTCTACATTTGTTTTTTTTAATCAATTTGATATGCTATCTTCAATCCCAATTTGAAAATGTTCAGATTGGATAACTTTTTAGGTTCAGGTTTACTTATAATTAAAATTGTACGATAAATAAATATGTGCTAAAATAATTTAAATTATCAATTTATTCATATGTAAGTCTTCGTACAATTAAGAGTAGTATAACTTTATTGTTTAAAACATTACAACGAAAAGTTATATAAGTAAATTTACAAAGCTTGATAATATTTAAATGTTTTTACTTAAATAATTACTAAAATTATTTTAAATATATTTTTATGACCAGGCGTATTATGTGATAATGTCATTTTTATTTGTGACTATAAATAGTCAAATCTTAAAGGAATTTTTTCGACTTACATTAATCCATACATATGTATTAATTTTAGTTTTATTTCTTTAATTTATGTTTTGAAATTTAATTTGATTTATTTAGTGTTAAAAATTATTTTTGCAATCGCGCCAATTAATTTTCTTTTATCCATACGCATTACTTTCTTTTATTACGTGAATTTTTTTATTATCTTTTTAGTCATCATTTTTAATTTGAGTTTCAATATTTTAAAAATTCTTAATAATGAAACATACTTTTTTTCATAATATAAAATATTTATCACAAACTCAAAGTTTGATTGTTAAATATAATTATTTTATAACTTTTATTTGTAAATTTTTTTGTCTACAATTTTATTTAACGTATATTATATTATATGTATATTTAAAATTAATTAATTTTATAATTTTTACAAAGATCTTTTGTCTTTTGACAAAAATCTATAGATTATTCTTCATGTTTTGCTTTTTATTTATTTTGATCTTTTATTTTTTTCTAAAATATAATTTAGATCATTTTATCATCATAATATTATCTATGTTATTTTTCTCTCTCTTTCTCATTTTCCAACAACTACACCTACTCCCCTCTTGTACCCAACCACTCTCAACCCTTTTTTCTCCTTCCTCACATCCAATCTCACAAGCAGTATGGGAGAAACTTGGTTAACAATCAATCCAAATTTCTGACAAAAAGTCAATCAAATATTACACAAAACATTCATACTCCTTCAAAATCAAACCCCTGGGCTGAGGAGGGGTTAAATCATCCATATATTCTTTATTATAAACCCTAAAAACACAAACTTAAAACTTTAAATATTATCATTTTATTTCAACAACCCTCCTTAATAAAAGAACTCTTTGTAACCCAATTACAATGCTTATCAATAGCATCCTTCAATTTCTCAACAACCTTAACAAATCAAAACCCACACCCTAATCAAAACACAGGCTAGAGCTTTGTGTCCCCGTGTCCGAAGCAAATTTTGGCAAAGAATCGTGGTTATAATAAAATAATGATAATAAATTTTTTATAGTATATTTTATTTTTATTATTATATTATTCAAAAATGGCTATCAAGTGATTCTAGACGAGAATATGGTTGTCACTGTATAGTTGAGGTTACATGTGAAATGAAGGAATTTTAGCAATCGGTTGGTGGAGTATAGGATTTTGCAAGAATTTAGAAAGTTTTTTTTTTTTTTTTGGAGAAAGTGCAGTTAACGAAAGTAAGTTTAAACTAATGGAATATTCCTTTTGTGTGACTTTAAAAATATAAAACATAAAAAAGAAATGTATCACTTTCAATGCTGTGACAATTACAACCTTCCCATTCTCATGTACATTTGCAGTGATGTTGAGGTAAGTGTCGGAAGATCAAAATCAGAAGAGAAACTAATATGCATCAACAGTGTAAAAATTATCATTATAAGCTTATTGATATTGAAAATTGTATATAGAACATACTAAACATTTGCTAGTAGTTTAATCAATGTCAAAAGAACAAGTGTAGCCAAGATAACAGGAATAGCAACCAACTTTGAAATGCATCCCTTGTCCTTCCTTATCAGGAGCCCTTCAATGATGGGGTAGTTGATGGTAATTATATAAACTGCAAGGAAAATCTGTATAAACATTTTGTCACAGTCACCCACCAATAACACTCTGTAGACACCTCCCACTAAGCAATATATGTTGATAGTGATGAGAAAAAGCATTGGTGCTATAAAGATATTTGATGCTTGGAAATCATATTTATCCATTTCATATAGCAGAGTTTTTTCATCATCATCTAATTTATTTGTGGGCAAGAAACTAGCTTCTCTTATACCAACTTTCTTTAACAGTGCATCCAAACATCCATATAGATGGCAAGTCACTGATTTCATCATCCAGATCCGCTGCTCATTTATCCAATTATGGAGTGTACCACCAGTTAAAGAGACTTCTTGCAAATGTTTTAGAAGAGATGATAGAAAGATGAATATGAAGATAATGAAGAAAGGGTCTGAAACCTGTGAATAACGAAACAAAAAGGAAAAAGGGATTTTAGCTTATGAAGCAAATATATGCAAGAATGTGAGACTGAAGGGAAAATGGTAAGAAATGAGCTCATTAGTGTTGTTACCTTAGGGTACAAGGGTATTCCATTTAGTAGACTGAGCTGAGGGATAGTAGCAAGACACAAAAGGGGCAAGCAATAAAGAGGGAAATATGTGAGCCATGCAAAACATAGACATTGAAGAAGGGGCATCCTTGTAGACCAATATATAAGGGGGCAAAATCTATTTATACCATTTTCAAACAAACCACTGTACCATCTAGTGCCTTGGATTAGTACATCATTCAAATTTGTTGTAGCTGTACCTAGGAACTGTGGCCTGGATGGTTCACAGAAAACTGAAGTCCATCCATTAGAATGCAAGATAAATCCAGTTAGGTAATCTTCTACTACACTATCATATGTGAAACCAACCTGCAACAGTTCAAAAAATATGCATACTTATTTTACTACAAGATTTTTGAAGTTATGGCTCAAAAATGAAATAATTAAAAAGTCTACCTACCTCTTTTCCCCATTTAGTGCCTATTTCATACTTACAAGAAGCCAAAAAGTGAAGTTCATCTAGCAATGCATATTTCTGATCAGATACCAAATCACTTGAGTAGTTTTGATCAAGTGATCCGATGAATTCATTAGATGAACCAAAGTGTTCTTTTTGTTTCAGCAGATCAGTTCCTAGATGAATTCATGTGTCAATGTCATTGACTCTTGTGTTTTAGGAAGCAAGTAGATAGATAATGGTGTTTAATAATACCTTTCCTAGTGCTGTTTCCATACAGTGATACCCTTTTTATATAAAACCCTGTACCTGACAAAGCAGGTCCCTTAAGTCCATTCATACCTTGCCATAGTACCTGAAATTGACCACAGAAGTAGTTAAACAATGCACCATCTTATACAACATGAAAGAATTACAAAGGTCTGATTTGATGTCCCTAGTCCTTACTGTAAATAATGACCTCAGCTGACTATCATAGATGTCATTCTTGCTACTGTTGTGAAATTTCTGAGGAAATTGAACAAAAGACAAGGAGGATGATATCTTTGGATCAAGGTGAAAACACATGGCATATCGAGCTGAAGCTGGATCATTACAGAACATGTCACAATCTAGAACAAGAATGTACGGAGAGTTACTCATCAGCGAAGAGACACGAAGCTGCAATTATGTGAGATGGGAAAACATTATATTTGTTGTGTTGGTAAAACAGGTTTTCTATATACACTGTGGCAGACATATAAAAGAAAAGTATAGTCATACAAGGACATTGAGGGCTCCAGCCTTGAAATGGTGGGGATGCGAACACTTTTTCTCACGAGCAACATAGACAAGGAGAGGCATTTTCACATTATCTACATCATCTATGATACTTTCTTGAATCACCTGCCAAAATCAGATTAATTAAGCCAATTTCCTAACATAATTTGCTTCTCATGACAGTGAATGAGCACCAAGAAGTTTTACTTATGTACATTGATATTTTGAGTGCAAGATCTCATGTTAACATCTTGTACTACTTTTTTTAGTCTAGTTACATATAATGCAAGACATCTCAATGTTAAATATTTTATTTTAAGATTTTAAAATAACTATTTGTATATCTCATAGTAGACTCAATTTAATATATACCTCAATGAGAGATGGGTGATCCTTGGAGAATGCCTTGTCTTTCCTGAATGTCTTTATCTCTTCTTTAAAAGCCTCGTACTTTTCCTGCAAATTGTTAAAAAATTATAAAGTGATGCTTCTGAAGTAATTTTTATAATATTTAAATACTATTTTCATCCTTCCATGTACTAAAATCAACTAAACTAAGTTCCCTTAAAGTCAACCTTGATCTTATGCTTATCTGCCATGAACAAACTACTCCTTGCAAAATCACCATCACCATCGTCACCCTCCAAAGCAGAAGAAAAGTAAGCCTTGGGGCACCTGCTCTTTATTTTGTACCTTCTACAAAAGGGAAGCCACCACCTAGCAAATTTCCAAGCCTCCCTCACTCCATGCAGAGTCAAAGGAGACCCCCCATCATCTGAAAGATACACATGCAGTTTGTGTGGAGGGTAATCCAGGGCCATGGCTGACAAAACAGTGTTCATCACATCCAAAGTTGGCTCCTTAGTTGGATCTGCAGTGCATATGAACACATCAAATGGAGGAAGCTCGTGATCCTCCGGCAATCTTTCTGGGAAGACAGAACGTGTAACTGGACGCCAGCGAAAAGCTTGTTCAAGGATCCAAATGAAGGATAGAATGGTTTCTGAAGCAAAAACAAGTAGCCATGGCAACAAGTTATGGCTTTCTCTTGTTTCTGAGGGTTGGAGAAGAAAACAGACCCTGTAATAGAACAAGAAGGCTAAAGCGGTGGAGTGGAGTAGCATGTGTAACCTATTAATGATAAGTACCAAGTTTTGAACATGGAGGGTATTCAGAGGAAGACTCTGGTGACTACCCTCCATTTCTTCACATACATGCATTTGAGTGTCAAATTTTGATGCTATGAATACCATTTGTTATGTCTATCTTGACCTATATATAATATTGGATTCTCCATTTTTTAGTGATCTTTGCCAATTTTAAGAGCATCTACTAGTCAATTACCAAAATAATATTTCTGTTTACCAACAAAACATTTCCTATCACAATATCTTGGATGATTACCAAAAAAAGAAAAAAAGGAAAAATCAAAATTTAAGAATAATGTTTGAGGACCAATCTTGGCTTCCTTTTTATCATATTCACCTGTAAGAGAATCCATGAGTCTTAGTGGATGTTACTTCATATGCATTATTTGTATTCTTGTTTCTTTCTATTTTATTCCTGGACTATTGGACTTTGATCCATCAATTTTAATTGAGATGCCATTATTTCAATGTAAAATTTCATGGCAATATCATTGTTAAAAAAACATATACATGTGTAAACATTTTTTAGATGGAGTAATAAAAAGAACAAAAAGAAGAACAAAAAAACATGTGCAACCTTTTAATTTCAATTTTATTTATTAGTACAGGAGATGAATCGACATTTTGTTTTTATTAATACTCGTAGTTTAAATCATTATTTTAATTTTTTTAACAGAATTAAATAATATTTTATGCCATATTTCTTCTATAAATTCTAAAATCACATGAAGAGGTGTTTGTTTGACATTGAACCATATAATCATCATAAATTGAGATATTGAGAATTTAATTTTAAAATTATAGAAGTAATTTAATTAATATAATATTTGTAGTTTTGAAAATTTATGTATATATATTGTTCTTAAAAGGAAAAAGAAATTAATAAAAGAGAGAAAAAATATATCTAAAGTGAACAGCAAGCATTTACTCAATCAAAACAAGACCGATAAAAAAAAGACTTATATTTAATTTTAAATATAAGGAAAATTATTAAATAAAAAACAAAACATAAAGATGACTCTCTTGTAAAATATCACATATATATATATGAGGTTTGCTTTCAACTTTGAACCGTATCTTCTGACTTTTGAATAAAGGACACCTCGACTTTGTTTTTCATCATATGATGTTGAAATTTAACTAATTTTGACTAATTATGCAATTGCAACTCAAAATATGATAAATATGAACACGTGAATCGGATAAAATTATTTTTTAAAGAATGAAAATTTTGATTGGAAAAAAGGTGCAAAGTTTCTGAGATATTTTTTCGTTAAATATGTTTAAGCATCAAATAAATATTAAATTATATTTATTCAATAAATCAATTAACATTAAATGATAAAAATATTATTAATTTTTTATATAAGTTATTCATCAACATTTTTATATTATTAGCTCTTTAAAAATATTTTTTTTAATTTTATTATTCTTTTTTATTTCACTCTTATTATATGAATTATACTTTTTTTTTCATTTTGTACGTATTGCGCATTCTCGTTCTACTTTTCACATATATCACACTTTTTTTTCTTTCCTGTTTTAAAATATTTAATATCATAATAACTATTTTTTTCTTACATTATTTATTATTTTTACATTAATAACACAATAAAAATAATTATAAAAACATTTTTATAAGCGATGATATAAAAAAATCATGACAAACATTTTTTTTATACAATAATAATACTAAATACCATTTTTAAAATTGATCAGATTAGTCTCAATTTTTAACAAAAATCGCTTCACTTTCAAGAACATATGTTTTATAGTAAAGTAGGAGTATTCTCCCATTATAATTACTCTATATACAACATATTCCTATGTAGAACAAATTAAAGTATACGAATAATAACTTAAAAAATCAAATTTATAATTAATATTGAGTTATATATGATTTTGGAGTGACTTATTATTAAATTGTTATTGTGTAAAAAGTGTCACAGGTTGATTATTGATGTGTTGTATCTAAAATCATTTGCATCACTCAAAATATAAAATAAAGAAGAATCATAAATGAGATGGAAGTTCCATGATGATGGGAACTCCATTGAAGAATCAAGGATCCAAAATTTTCTGTAAGGACCCTAAAAATTGTTACTATAATGATGTTTCGCAAAATAGTAAATAAGTAAATAACAACATCTATATTATATTATATTATTTTAATTGTATTCTGATTCATCGACAAAACCTTAAAATATAGTATCATAACTTATTTATATAATTGCATAATAAAATAACTCCCACAAAGATCATCCCACTGAACTATTTCTACTGCCCATTAGTCGCATCTCCACCTCTCAACTCCTGATCTGCTCCCACATAAAAGTGATCATTGCAGTCTCACCCACATGGAAAAATATGGGATAAGTATTAAATCATTTAATATAATAAAACAAATATAGAATTAATAATTACATATCATCATCAATTACAAATTATCAATACACTAGGACGCCTTTCGGAAGTCTACCTTAACTACGCCCGAACTTAGAGGCTATCATCTGTGGGCACATTGTGGTTGAAACTCACAGTACCATTCTGACCACTCTCCACACAGAGTGGGATTATTGGCGCCCTTCATCACTCATTCTAAAGTACCCCTTCAAGTGCACCACCAGTCATCCCTCATCGACTTCTCACCACTTGATCTCGTAGTCTACCTGACCCGATCAATCAGTGAAGTCTGTGACCTCATCTGAATCTTCTGACATAGTTAGTACACTAATGTACTCTATACCACCCCGGGTACCATTCAAACACAACAATAATAATTTACATCTGCCTAATTCTGGACCACCTATCCTTACAGCTCATTCGAGTCAACAAATAATAGTACTTGACTAATTCTGGGCACCAACCCTCCGACTCAGTCTAACCAATACATAACATCTCATGACTGATTCTGCGCATCAGCTTTCAGGCTCAGTCTGACCCACATACGTCACAACATACTGTTGAATTTCTAATTCCATTCTATATTTTAATTGTTTTCCTAACATACCTTTACTTTATTTTTAAAGTTCCAATTATATCCTTAAACATTTTCTATTATTCCTTTCACATCCCAAAATCATTAAATTACTATTTTGCCCTTAATCTTTTCTCAAAATTTCATGTATGTTTTTAAGATGACCATTTTACCCTTAATCTTTTCTCATAATTCCTTCCATATCTTGAAAATGACTATTTTACCCTTAAACATTTTATATTATTCCCTCCATGTCCCGAAATCATTACTAAATTACCATTATACCCTTAATCCTTTTTCAAAATTCCATTTATGTCCCTAGGATGTGAAATGACTATTTTACCCTTGATCTTTTTCAAAAATTTCTCTCTTATCCCTTTCTTCAACCTCGCGTCCAGTAGCCATATCAAATTTTCTAGATTTCAAATTTGTCAGTTTCAATCAACCAAACTAGTTCCAAATCCAAATTAAACATGAGATATGTCCATTTTAACTCAAAACAACAATTTTATCATATAATTCATCCTTAATTTTAAGAATTTCAATAAAATTTCAAACTTTTAAAACATGAAGAAATCTTCAAAATAAGTCATTCAAATAATTCATATTTCTACTCCTATTCCTTATTCACAGAGTACCAAACAATTCAGTTTAATATATTGAATGAATTAAATTTCCCCTTACTTGGTGTGGTATTACTACCGAAGCTTTCCCACTTAATCCAAGTTTTCTCCCGTTTCACCAGATCCTGCACGAGTAGAGTTTCGTTGCTTAAAATTGAGATGAAAGAAGAAGAAGGACGAAGAGCGCCTGATATGAGAGGGAGAATCACTTGTTGCACATATATATAAAACAATTTGGCGGTGCGAAGGAAACTTCACTACAAAGTTTTTGCACTATATAATATTATTATAATATATAATAATAATAAAAAATATACGTCACAATCTCCCATCTATAAAAATTTTTGTCCTCGAAAATGAACTTATTAGGGAATAGATATGGATAGGACTCTCGCATCTGATCCTCCATCTCCCAAGTGAAGTCTCCAGATTTCTGATCCCATACTACCTTCACCATTAAGATGGTTCTACCTCTAAGTTGTTTCAGCTGAGGATCCTCTATCCTCACTAGTCTCACATCAACGGAGAGATCATCTCTAATCTGCACATCGTCTGACTCCAAAACATGATTGGGGTCATGCACATATTTTCTCAACTAAGATACATGAAATACATTGTGCATATTTGCCAAATGAGGTGGAAATGCTAACTGATATGCCACTGGGCCTATGTTCTTCAAAATCTGATATGGACCAATAAACTTGGGAGTCAACTTCTTAAACTTAATTGCCCTTCCTACTCCAGTAGTAGGTCTGATTCTAAAAAATACATGATCCCCCCCCTTAAATTCCAAAGGTCTCCTCCTCTGGTCCACATATGATTTTTGTTTACTCATAACAACCCTCAACTTCTCCTGTATCTCCTGGACCTTCTTTGTAGTCTGCTGGAGTAGTTCAGGTCTGATCAACACTTTCTCCTCATTCTGATACCAATATAAAGGTGTTTGACACCTCCTCCCATAAAGAGCCTCATATGGTGTCATCCTGATACTGACATGATAACTATTATTATATGTGAACTCTATTAATGGAAGGATATCATCCCAACTTCCTAGATTATCCAACACACAAGATCTCAACAAGTCTTCTAGTGACTGGATGGTCCTCTCCGACTGTCCATCTGTTTGGGGGTCATAGGCTGGACTCAACCTAAGTCGGGTACCTAATGTCTCTTGTAAAGTCTGCCAGAAACATGAAGTATATTTGGGATCCCTATCTGAGATAATGCTAGATGACACCCCATGTAATCGGACAATCTCGCGAATATATAGTTGTGTCAGCTTAGCCATAGATATCCTTAGATTTACGGGGAGGAAATGTGCATTTTTCGTCAATTTGTCCACTATCACCCAGATCGAATCGTACCCATGAACTGTCTATGATAAATGGGTAACAAAATCCATGGTAATATTATCCCACTTTCACTCAGGTTTCTCCATTTGCTGTAGCATTCCTCCCGGTCTCTGGTGTTCC